TTAAAGATGCACAAATCAATGATTTTGAAAGCCTCTATGTAAAGGATGCTCTGGTCACTGCTTGGGTTGGTGCTGTTTGGCCCCAACATCCCTGCCAGCTCTCGGCAGAGGGTACCCAAAACTGCAGACCCCCTCTAAACACCTTTCCCAGCATCACACACAGCCATGGGTTGACTGGCTTTTTGCAGCAAGGGGATTGTAGGGTTTTTGATCTAAGGTTTCAGCAATTAAAATTATGTGATGAGGAAACTTTATTTGAAAAATAAATAAATAAATAAATAAATAAATAACCCTCCTTTTCAGGTCATTTAAAACCATGTTGGAGAGCCATGCTGCAGATGCTGCCCAGCACACCGGGCACTGCCCCTGCCAGCTCAAAAGGGGCTTTGCAGAACTCTTGAGCAGGGCCCATCTCAGACTCAATTTGTTGTCAGTTGGATGCTGATGCAAACCTGAAGGCATTTGATGTCATCGGGCACTGACAGTGAGGAAGAAATGTCCCTGTCCTGCCCACTCTGGTCAGCATAGCTCCCCCTAACAGAGAACTCAAGGGCTGAGAGCACCTTGTCCAGGGCTGGGCAAGCTGGGCCACTGGGCAGCCCTCAGCCACTCCAGGAGGACGTCACGGTGCAGGTTGGCTCCTTTTCACCCAAACGTGAGGAGCTGCTGCACCAGCTAGCGATGCCGTCCCTGAGCCCAGGGGGCTGCCATTTGCATAGCATCCTCCTCCTCCTCCTCATCGGCTGCTGGGAGCTGTGCTGCCCGGCCCGAGCCTTGCACCGTCATCGACACCTGGGCAAAATGGGTGTAAAAGTGCTCCCAGGGGCAGGCAGCCACCAGCATCCTCACAGGTACCCGGCACAGGATTGGAGCAAGGTGCCAGACAGCAGAAAATCAATGTTTGCTCAGACTGGGATCTGAGCACAGAGCCAGGGCGTCTGTAACTCCATGTCTCCTGCCGCGAGCCTTGGGCATCCCTCGACATGTTGCAGTTGGACGTGCTCCGGCCAAGCTCATTTTGAGCAAAAAAGGGATGTGATTTTTCGCTGATGTTAATACAGTGGAAAAATGCAGTGTAAAAACAATCTAGTGTAAAAAAGCGTGTGTGCTATGGAGCCCCAAGGTAAAGGGCACCCATGGTTTTAAAAAAACACTTGGGGTGAAGCTGTGTGTGTGCCTGGCAGCCTCCCTCCACCTTCAGGGGGTCTTTATCCACCGAACAGCAGTGTACCTTGCGTTGGATGTCTTGGAAGCCCTTTAAAATCTTTTCACAGTCCAATAATGTTGACTTCTGACCTTCTGCCGTCTGACATTTCTGTACTTTCCTCAGGAAGACATAATCTTCATTTAAGCTCAACGCCTCTTCCATCTGCCAGTGGGGGAGAGAAGAGAGAGTGAACGGGTTGTTAGTGGGAAACGACGCAATGGCTGGTAGCGGGGCTATGCCGTGTTCCTGCCAGCGATGCAGCACAGCCTGGAAAGCTCAGGGTCGGCTGTTCAGCATCGAGGTGAGCCGGGCAGACACTGCGGGTACCAAGCTCTCTCACCAGCCACCTGGCACAGCGGCTGCACCTGCATCCGCTGGGAATTGCACCCACAGGGCTGACAACACTGGATGAGAGGAGGATTGCTCAGGATCCCTTCCTATTTTTTGTCACCTTGATAATGAATTTAAATTTCCCACTCTGCCTTTTCCAAAAGCCTCATAGCAAATGTCCACCCGCCTGCATTTACAGAAACCTCAGTGAGGGGCGAGGGGCTCACTGCTGCTGTCCCAGTGGTCCCAGAAGGCAGCTGGGGTGCTCGCTTATCCCTACGCTGCCCTGTGCGTGGCATTTATTTTTTTGGCTAGCTTATTGACCAGAAAAACTGCCAAGAGACCAAAACAACTTGTGGGTTGGGGCTGAATCCTGCCTAGAGCTTCAGATTAAAAAAAAAAAACCAATAACAAAACCAGAAAGCCAAAAATAAAGAATAAATATATATGTATAAAAATACTGATTTTTGAAAATACACCTGTGTTTTGTAAAAACTTAACATTTGGCTAAACAGTGAAGTGCAGATGGACATGAGGACACACAGCCTGGCAGGGCACTCAGGGCAGGCAGCGCTGGGATGCGGAAGGTTGGGTTGGAAACCCTGCCGCCAGCTCTAAAGGCAGCTGAAATCCTCTTGCCACCTGTGACTGTGCTTCAGCTGCCTCTGATCCTCTGCCACGGCCCCGTGCAGTCACATTTCACTCCGTTGGGGAGCCTCCACTCACCCCTTCGCTCTAGGCTGCAACTCCCCTGCAGCAAAGTCCCCTTCCATCCACCCAACTTTTAAGCCCTTCTAGCTCAGGATGGCTCTCCACCCTTGAAGCTCAGCAGGTACGCACTTAAATTTCAGTTTAAGTTGAGAAAACGTGTTTAAAAATCAGCAATGGCAATCTGATCTGGTAAGGAGAATGTGTTCTGGGTTTTAGACACATTTTATCTCTTCAGCAGGTAGCCTTTTCTGGTTTGGGGAAAACTGCCTTTAGGTCGGTGATTTTAAGCATCATATGGTGCGGCTGCAGTCACGGCAACCTCAAAACCAGCTTTTCACTTTTTACTTTTTTGGTAAATATTGTCCCAAGTATGAGGCAGGATCACCAACACTGCATCTCTTCAAAAAAAAGAGACAAAGTACTAAGAAAGAACTGTTCTTTTCTTCCCAAAGCAGAAAGACAGCATGTGAAGTGGGATGCTGGTAAAATTCACGCATGCAAACAGTAAAAAAAAATCATTTCTGGACCCACAACCTCGTGATTACTGTCACAGTGCTGCCAAGTACTACAGCACCAGAAAAACCACCAACAAGCCACTTGTGTGTTTAAACCACACTGTCTTCTCCCCAGACTGGCCCTCGGCTGCCAGGTTTGCTATTAATGGCTCTTCTTGATCAATCCATTCTCATTTTGTTAACGAAGGGAACAGATCTCTTCCTCAGCGTACATCTTAGCGGCAAATTAAAGCAAAAGTGCCAAAATCCCCTGTCCATCCAGTGGTCAACATCTTCTACCACGTTCATCCTTCGGGTGAGCACATGTCACCATGGCTGAAGGGAAATCATGTTAGCAATCCACCAGAGAGAGCCTTATTTCTCCACTTACCTTATCCATCTTCATGTGAAGATACAAACAGAAGAGTACGGTCCCAATTGTCTGTGCTACAGTAAATACAGCGAGGAAGCCCATGAACATTTTCATGGTGCTGGGCGAGGTGCTGCTGATGGGTCGGGGTGTCGCAGGGCTGTAGGGTTCGTTCATCCTCTGTGCACGTTGCTGAGGCTCCTTCAAATGCACTGCTTGCAAGTAGCATGAGAACTGTTGTGTGAGCACTCGCCGCTCAAGGGATACAAGTTGCAGCAACCTACACTTCCTGGAAAAAACTCTTCGTAGTGGGTAGGTTTGTTCACTACCGTCTCCCACAACAAAAAAAGGTTGCTTAGACTTTCTTCTCTGGTGCACTTCCATGCTTTTTCCTACCGTTCTACCAGAAGAAGAGAGAGTTCTTATTCCATGTATTCATATTTGCCCTTGAAACTCTTCAGACTATACCCAGTGTTTTTTTCCTGCTGTGGATGAAGGTTTCATAGCAAGTTGTCCTCAAAGAAATGAAGGCCATGAATCCATAGGCAGAGCTGCTGAATGGCGGTGTGGGCTTCCAGGGGCTAGGAAGCACTTGGAAAATTGGTTGTTTCTCAGAAGGGGAAGAAAGGCTTTCTGGTCTTCATTTCCTTCATGAGAATGATGATTCTGCAGTGAAGGCGTTTGGCTGAGGCGGACGGATTGTGCTGGTTTCTTGCCTCCTCTTGTGCTCCCCATGAGTGAAGTCTCTGCCTGGGTAGGCTGGATGGTTCTGGAGAAAGGACCATTTCTATGGGCATTGTCACCCCAGAGTAGGCACAGATTTCATGCTCCTTGACAGACAGCAGGTCTTTGGGTCTTGGTGCTTGGCCATCACTTTTGACACGCAAGTTTTAAGGAGTTTTCTTGGTACCCCAGTGAGATGCTCACCCTGCACTCAAGGGCAAAAGCCAGCTCAGACCCTGTCCCCAGTTACCCGTATTACCTATATCTATATCTCTGGGCATGAAAAAGGTTGTTGGGGCTGTTGGGCATCCCTGACAGCTGCTGACCTCCCAGCATCGCCTCCATGTAAATTTGGGCAACCCGTGTCCCTTCCATGTCCTCACGTCTCTTGAGCCAGCAGCTGGTCACGTCAAGGTCGTGCCCCTGAGCCTTCCCTGCCCTGACTCTTTGGGCATCCAACACTTGTGCAGCTGTGCACCACCAGTACAGTAATTTAGGGTAAATGCAGACAGGTCCTCACTGCTTACAACAAGGGTCAGACCTCCTTTTCTTCACGTAAAGAGGAAAAATCTGGGTTTCTGTTGGGGTGCTGAGGAGGAGGGCTGTAAGGTCATACTGCGAGGAGGGCTGGGGCACTGGTTTGGAGGCAGTTACCAAGCCATCATGTAAAGTTATTTTGAAAGTAGCATGCTAAAGGCAATGCTCTTATCAGATGTGCATGCAGCAAATAAGAGGTCAGATCCTGCTAGAAGGAGCGAGGCACTGAGCAGGGCACTGTTCACTGGCGGCCTCGGGAGACGAAGGTACACAGCACCTTGTCGGGGCTGCTCAGAGTGTTGCAGGATGGAGTCCAGCATTCGCTTTTGCTCGCTACCCACTCTCGCATCCTGTCCTGTGTGGTTAGAGCGTTGTGAGCTGCAAATGCAAAACGTGATAACACAGCAAAAACATCTCTGTAACCAAGCCAGAGTTTGACCTTGACAAGTCACCGTGTTCCTAAATATAGCATCCAAATCACAAGTGTGGGATGACAGCAGGGTCTTCGTGGGTAGCAATTCAGTGTCTGGGCAGAGGGCAGACCATGGCTGAGGCCCTAGCTGGTGCTCTGGAGTCACACCATCCCTAATCCTGTGGGAAGTCACACCCCCAAGCCAAGGAAGCATTGGAACAGGCCTTCCAGTTCCAGAGCCAGCCCCCCAGTGTCACTTTTGCCTTCTAGAGGCATGAGGGGCCCCTGGGGTCCTTGCCCCTGGGTGTCTGTGCCCCAAGGGTTGCCCGTGCACCCTCGCCATCCAAGGGCTGCCTTGCTCTCCAGCTCGCTGGGGAAGCACTGGTGTCACAGCCCCCACAGAATTGTCCTCCTCATAGGAGTGGAGTGACCCCAACAATGCTGGGGATGCACCCTCTCAGGTGGCAAAAGGGTGTCCCCTCAGCATTGGCGGGGCTTTGGACTCAGTCCCTTGGGCTTGTAGCCCCACAGTGCATGGATCTGAGCCCACACAACCTGGGAGCACTACCAAGCCACTGCTTCTAGTCCTTTTTTAGCTTAAAATTGGAATTATATTTGGAAGGACTAACCCTGGACCCCAAGCAGGGGTCTGGTGTGATACTGAGCTCCTAGACACCGTCCCTGCTATGGAGAGCTTGCCACAGGCAAAAAGCTGCTTCGTGGTGGACATCCCCAAGGGCACTGCAGGCAGCTGAGGGCCACGAGGCCACGGCAGAGAGCAGCACCTGCTCCCCAGAGTCCTTACCCCATGCCTCAGCCCCATGGTGATCACCAACATTTTCTAGGGCTCTTCAAACTTTCCTCTGAATTTAACACTCACGCTGGGGGAAATCTCTACATGAGAAACAGAGTGACATGAGAATTCATCACTTAATACTTTCCCCAAATCCTGAGTGTTGGGACGGAGAGGCAGATGACAACGTGTGAAACCACAGCAACGAGCGCTGCAGAGAGCAGCAAGCAAGGCTTTGCAGAGCTATTCCTGAGTCCGGGCTGTCCCTGGCAGACAAAACCTTTTCAAAGCCATGTCTGGGTAGCCACCCATCACTGCTCCGCTGAAATGAGAAGAACACGTCGGTAACGTCAGAAACCCCGAGCGCATCGCTGACCCCGTTGCACGCACCTTGCTGGGGAAGCCAGAGCTGACGGCAGCCTCGGAGGGGCTGCTGGGCTCGGCGAGAAGGATGGGGAAAGACTCCGGTTTTGGGTACCCAGAACGAAACGTTGCTGGAGGGTTGGCCAGCTTGTGTTGCGAAGCAGGAAATGGAGAGTCACTAGTCACCGGCACCCTGACGGGCAAAACGGGGTGGAAAATATGACAGCAGGGATCCTGGTAGAGGTTTGTCAGTGGGGAGGGCAGGCTGGCAGCTCCTTTTCAAGAATCTGTTGCTCCACCTCGGCAATCCAGCCCCTTGCCGACCCGGCTGGCAGGGAGCAATCCCGTGGGAGCCACCTCCTCCATCCTGCACCACAGGTCCTGCAGCTTCTCCAACTCGAGCCGGGAGCCAAAGCCGGTAGTGCCAGATCTACCAGGAGGTGTCGACCGAGCTCTGGGGAAGGCAGAGCCCCATCGGACCATCCCATCACCATTGCTGTTCAGAAACAGGCAGACCAGGAGGACAGGGGGTGTGTGGTCAGCACCTGGGGACATGCTCCGCTGCCACCTCACAGCTCCACATGGATGCTAAGGACAGGGGGAAAGACTCACAAACCTCAAAACCCACATTATCCCACGTGAGGGTCAGGCAGCATCATGACAGCACATCCTTGACTGCTTGGCTGCTGTAGGGACATGGGGGAGTATGTCAGAGGGGGAAAGTGGGACATGGTCCAGAAGGATGATGGGCAATGAACAGAAAACCCAACACCAGAGGGAAGAGTCTGCCTGTATGGGATAACCCCAAGCAAGGTGAAATCACACCTTCATCTGGTGATGACCCCACCACCGAGAAACCAACAGGGTTTTCTTTTGGCCCCAAACCCTCTGAACATAACCATACCCATCCCCTCGTGAAGCCAAACTGGCACCGTTCCTCCAGCCAGACAACCCCCGGGTGTCACAATGGGAAAATGTGATCCACCGCTTGCATTCCTATTGACCTAGTTGCGGTATTTCCGCTGATCAGCAAATTGTCTCCACTTGTGCTCGGCGCTCGGAGTTTTGTTTACCAAGAAAATATCCGGTTGCCTGCCCCCGTGATCTGTCAAAGGCTGGGAGCATTTCTGAAGGCAGCAAGGTGAAAGCTGATGAGGAGAGTGATTTTTTTTTTTTTGGGTGCCCGCTGCGGTTTCGTGACTAGCTCTTTAAAATGTGCTGCTCACCCCACATGGTCTTTACAATTAACAAAAGCTGGGTGCTGTGCAGTACTAAGAACAATACATTCAAAAAGAAGATTTTATTCTGAGTCACAAAAGGACTTTGCCTGTGATGCCGTGGGAGGGACGCAGAAGGGAATCTATGAGAAAAACCTAAATTAGTCCCTTCAGCACAGAGCCTTGGGCAGAAGGGAAATTTGAGCTTTTTCATCGTTTGCTTTGTCATTTTTTAGATTTTTCCCTCTCCTGCATCCTCTGAGGTCTCATGTCTCCAGGACAACCCCATCACCAGAGAGGAAGAGGGAACAGACATAGCCAGAACACCACAGAAAACATCACCAGCATCCGGAGAAGGAAAGGTTGCGTTGTAGTTTCCGTTCATTTTTTACCTTGGTATGAATGAGAGAAAGCTCTTGGAGTCCAGAGCAGCAAGGAACAGCCACAGGGATAGAAGCAGCTGTCAGTACTTGTGATGGCCATGTCTCTCTGGAAGAAAGGAGCTGAAGATAGTGGCTGTAGTCCCTACGATGGTAACGGCAGGCTGCAGCCCCACTGCTCACCGTGGCCGTCAGCCATGGAGGCACCTGTGTGGAGGTCAGCAAAAGTCCCAGGCTCCAGCAGACGAGGACACGAGCTGCCCAGGCTCCTGTTGCCCGGCAGGCAGAGCAGGGTATGGAGCACCATCACCACTGCCTTTTGCCCAGAGAGTGAGGGGACATCTGCCCTTTCTCTGCCACCGTGCAGAGCAGCAACAAGCAGTGGGAAAGAGCTGCAAGGGACAGCACTGGGGTGCTGCTGTCCCTCTGAGCCACCCTGCTCTGAGGGTCATCATCCCCTGTACCCCCTTCCCTCCATCCTTCCTCACCTCCCTGCCCTCTTGTACCCCCTACAGATGCACCCTGAGCCAGCCTTTCCCAAGGGCATTGGGGTGGTTGGAGAGCAGGGAAAGGCAGAGAAGGAGCCCCAGTGACACCCCAGAGGATGGAGGGCCCTGAAGGGCACGTGGCTTGTGCCACATCTGGGTGGCGATGCCAGCCTTGCCACGCTGAGCCATGGAGAGCACCCATCCTCTGAACTGCTGATGCTGAACCTTACCAAAGCTGTGAAACCACAGATTGCACTAGAAACTTCTTGCTGTGACGGCTGCACCTAATTCTCCCGGTTTCCTAAAAATAGAGCCTGG